CTCTGCTTCAGTGCTTTGCATTCACTTCAGGAAATGCCAGATGCATTTCACATTTTCCTTGCTAAGCTGAGCTAAGAGGGAAGTTGAACTGCATTTTAAGAGATGTCATTTTCGTAGATTTGTAAGTGATCCCATTCATATGGAAGCGAAATCATATACAAACTAGCTATAATGAATGCAGTAGTGCAGAAACTGAACTTGCAACCTACTTGGCTGTTCAAGGACATTGAATTACCCAAAGATTGAACCCCTGACAGAACAGAAGTGTCAGTTCTTTGTTTGTATACTGAGCAGTACTAAATTCTCCTAATAAAAGTGAGGGAGGGTGAGGGGGAAGCCCAAAATCCCAGTTGACTGGTGGGTTAAAACTTGCTGCTGCTGTGATTAACTTTTTTTTTTTTTTTTCCCCACATACAGAATAATAGGAAGAAGGCTTTTAGCTGTCCTTGCATGTACAGTATGTCACTTCTTTGGAATATGTCCATAATGTCTTATAAGTCAATCACAGTTCAAAACTTCTTGTGTAACTTTTTTCCAAATTTATTTTTTTAATATTTCAGAGGGCTTAAATATAAGTATATAACTTCTTGTTCAAAGTGCCACAGACACAGACAGCCTTTCTCAGGCTTTGAAGTGAATTGCCTTAGTCAGCTATGGCCATTGTACATTTTGGGGGAAAATGGTCATTAAAAGAATAGCAAGCCTTTAAGTACAGAAAGAGGATGGACCTTCATTCTCTTTTACTGGTGAATCTTGAAGCATTGCCTTGCTGCAGTAGTTGAGGAACAATAAAGAGATTGCATCAAAGTTAAGTGTATAATTGAAAGGTTATTTTGGGGAATGCATGATTTGTTCAGTAAACCGAATGTTGCTTTTTCTGTTGAGGTTTTTTGGTGAAGTGTGTCATTCAACCTAGGGGAACAGAATGTTTTGTAAGCTCCTCAAAAAAAACTTTTTAAAGCTTTGTAAGCACAGTAGAGGAGATAAAAAATGCAGACCTGATGCTTATGAGCTGTAGGAATGGCAGCTGGGAAGAAAAAGCAGTATGAGGAGTTGCACACTGGACTCAAGTTCTAATGGGGACAGTGCAGGCATTTGTCAGACTGTGTCCTGTTCAACATGTGGTGCTTCATCTTCTTTCTTAACACAAGGACCACTGCGACCAGCTTGTGTAAAGAGAAAGGAGTTAGTGAAAGAGAGTGAACACTAAGTCCACAGGTGGTTCTTGAGACCAACAGAGGACACAGTGACGATGGTGACAAGACACAATCCTTAGCAGTAGCCAAAGCTAGTCCTAAGCACACTGGAGACCTCAACTCAGACATAGCCCAGGGGAGAATGCATCTGTCCAGATGCAGGATGCAGGGAGTGCTTGGAGCTTCTCAGAGGTTGGAGGTGACAGCAGCCTCACCTGCAGGAACTGTACACTGGT